GAGAGAGAGAGAGATGAGCAGTCGCACCACCAGGTTTCTAATTGGGCACAAGGTCAGCAGAAGGCAGCTTGGAGCCACAGCTACCTGTTGATGGGCTCAGGTCGATGTCTCCGAGTGTGGGAGGGATATCCGGGCTGGTCCAGCCACAGTTGGGGTTTCACTCTGAGACCGTTGTTCTGGGTGGGAGAGGACTTGGAAGCTAAACAGGGCTGGGCCTGGTGTTAGTACTAGGATGGGAGACTTGGAAAGAGCTGCATAAGATGCAAGCCCTCAAATATTCTACGGGCTGGTCACATCTTGTGGGGCGCAGTGGAGGCTGTTGGGGCTGAGCCTCAGAGATGGAGGTTCTTGAGTTCATAAGAAAGACTTCTTAGTGAATTAGGGTTAACCAGAAAAGGGAGCGGTGTGCCCTGTGGGGTGATGAACTCTCAAGGTCGGAGGGGGGTCCTTCCAGTGGCAGTCCCCCTGCCTTCCAGGTAACTCAGGTCAACCCTCTGTTCCCTTGCGTGGACCTTCAGAAGCTTGTCTCCCTCCACGGCCAGGAGAAGCAGCTGGCTGTGAGGGGCCCCTCAGAGGCAAGGGGCGTCTGAGTTGTAGAGCAGCGGCCCTCACTCCTGACATTGATAGATCATCCGTGCTCCCCACCACGGAGCAGTGGGCAGGCTGGCTTCTCCCTGGGGCTGTCCAAGTTCATTACTGGCCCCAGCACGGCAGGCCATGGAACCAAAGCCTTTGTGGTATTTCATTTTCTCCACATCCACTCATTTATTAGATGCCATTAACCCGCTGGGCTTGGCCCTGGCTTCTAGGCAGTCCCCAGGAGTGCTGAGGCTGACATCTTAGGCTCTCAGGCAGAGGGGGAGGGGGTCACCAGTGGTACCTGCCCATTTCCTACAGGCGGAGGGCTTGGGGAAGGGGGAACACCTGTGACATCTGACCCAGCCGCCTGCTGGGGGTCTCTCTGGGGTCTGCAGAGATGCCCGCAGGTGAAGTAGAGGCTGACTGGGGCAGTGGATGGGAGGTGTTGGGCAGGCAGAGTAGGCAAATCCCCTTCAGGTCAGTGTGGAGCTCAGGGCAGCTGTGCTGGGGCTGTGAGCGAGTCCTGAGGGGTGAGGGACACAGGGGCCTGGGGTGGGAAGGAAGGGTGCTCAGGGGTGTACGTTTGTGCCTCTGATCCTATTCCCAGGCCATGACCTGCTCAACTCCCCACCTTCACACCTGTCCCTTCACTCATTCCTACATCGAGCAGATATGGCCCTGGGTCATGGAGGCACTGGTGTTTGTGTGAGGGTGTAGAGGGTCCTGGGAGCTCCTGATGTGTTATTGCAGGTGCAGCCCTGGCTTGGCCAGGAGGGGCCTGCCGCATCCTGGGGAGAGAGTGTGGGTATGGACAGTGTGTAGGTGAAGTGTGCGCTGATGTTTCACTGGGGTGTGCATGGGCACAGAAGCCAAGGTGGGGAACCCTGAAAACGGGGTGCCTGCGTGAAACTCAGCATGTGTATGCCGGGTAGGGATGGCTTAGTGCAGATGCTGCACAATAGCCATGGGTGTGGGAGGGATGCTAAGATGGTGATCACCATGGACTTCCTGTGTGAGATCAGTCTGCAGTGCCAGCTCACAGCATGCCCATGTCTTGCTGACCTGCTGTGGGGCCTGTTGGCTCGAGGGCCCCACCCCTTCTGAAGGGGAACTCGGTGGCAAGGGCTGCTCTGGGTGTTTAGCCTCCATCAGAATAGACTCTGGTCCCAGCCCTTACAGAGGCCATGGGCGGACACAAGGGAGCTCATCTTCCCAAATTTGGATCCCAACTCAACCGGAGTCCTGGATTAAAGCTGCTTCCACACGCCCTTGGTTGGCCCATCCGAGAGGGCATTGGAGGCTGGAGGAGGCTCACTCGGGCCTGTTTGAGGAGGGGCGCCCAACAGTCCCCGGGTTACACTGGGGGTAAGTTGGTGATTTCTGGCTGGGTCCCCATTACCTGTGTCACCTACCTCACCCCAGATTCCCCTGTTCCAGCCTTGGTTATAGCTCGATCATCTAAGCTGAGATATGCTTTTGGAAGGGCTATTTCCCCCCCGCTCATGGCACTGATCTTTGGCTGTGCCATGCTGAGCGTTGCCTCCTTTCTCTGCCTGGTACTATCTCCTGCTCCTTGGCTCTGCTCAGCCCTGGGAAGCCAGCCTCCTGCCTGACCCACCTGCCTCCCCAGGGCAGGCCCTGCCCTCCAGGACTGCTTCAGACAGGCCTCTGATATCACCGCCTTCATCTGGCCATTGCCACAGCTCCTAACGGCTCCTGTCCTGCCCAGCCTGGTGTGGGCACATGGGTTCGTTGTCCAATAGCTGTGGTCTCCTGAGGCAACAGCCAAAGGGCAGGTGACTGGCCTGGGGAAGGAGCCAAGGGCAGTCTCCCATACTCTAGTGGCAATGTCCCTGATCTCCAACCATCTGATGTCAGAAACGTATGTTCCCCTCCCTGCTTTATAACCCAAACTACAGCCCAGCTGGGTGTCTCCTGGGGGAGGAAGTTGGTCCAGACTGAGAACCCATGAGTAAGAGAGCCTCGGGGTTCAGGTCTGGCTAAGACCATCCGTGCTGGGAGTTACCTGAGGAGTAAGCCAGTCCCAACCCCGCTGTCAGTGGGCTCAGGCTTGAGGAAGCTGCAGTATCATCTGGCCCCTGGGAGCTGTGCGACTAGAGAGGTGAAAGGACACAGCTACAGGCCTGCTGACAATAGGAGCCAGAGATGGAGAGAACGATGGGGGCGCCAAGAGACGGGTGGGCGCCTGGCTAACTGCTGGCATCTGTGTCTGTGGACAGAAGCCAAGGTCTTATCCTGGCCAAGCAGGGTGGCCAGGGATGTTGCCACGCCCTGTGGAGTGAAGTGAGGATCTCACCTTGCTGACTGTGCTAGAGTTGGGCAGTTTGAAGAGGGGAATGGAGCAGGTGCAATAGTGATGTGTTTGGTGGTGATGGGTGGTCTGCCTGGGTCTTGTGTATCAGGTGCTGTGGATGGGGAGCAGCCCTGGGGGACCCTGAGATCAACACTCAGGTATTGAGTGTTGAAGGGCTGCCCCCGCTGGGAGTAGCAGATTTAAACCCAGGGCAGGAAGGTTCTTGGACAGGAAATGGGCAGGAATGCATCTATGGGCATAGGGTACCCCGTGCTGGGGCTTTGGGAAGCTCCTGACCACTCTAAAGGGCTGAGCTGTGTATACTGGCTGGGAGAGAGGTGACTGGTCAGGCTTCTGCTGCAGCTAATTCTGCCTGCCTGGGAGGGAGGGAAAAGACAAGAGGCATGGAAGGGTTCCCACCAGGTCTCTCTGCTTCTAGGGAGCGCTGCTCTCTGAGGGTTCCTCCAGGCCCTGGGAGAGTCCTGAGCTGTAGGCTGGTGTGGGGCGGGGTCCCTGCAGCCCCAGGTGCCCCCACGCCAGGCCTCTTCCCCTGGGCTACTTCCCTCCCATCGCGCGCATCTGCGGCAGTAGATTTTCCACGTACTCATCCTGGGGCGGGGCTCTTTGACCCGTACGTCTTTGGCATGGAGAGCGCGAACTCCCCAGAGTATGATTAATGAAAGAGAAATTGAGACGGCAGCGAAGAAACCGACCAGACTGAACAAAGTCAGAGGGACAAGGTGCAAGCCAGTCTCCACGTGTGCCCTGCAAACACGCAGGGTTCCGAGCCAGCCTGGAGCGCCACCATGTGGTCACTGCAGGTGGCGGCAGCCACTCCCCCTGCAGAGTCTGGGCGCGTCTGACTTGGGTGGTGCTCTGGGCTGAGGGCACCCACCCCGTCAGAGCCTTAACTGAGTCCAGGCTGCCCCGGCCCCACAGTGTGGGGGAACCAAGTAGTCCCACCTGACTCTGTAGCTCTTTCAGTTGATCATCTCTGGCTCAGTGATCCAGGGAAATGAGGTATCTCAGGTCGGCTCTTACCACCTTTTATAGCCTTCCGTGCAGGTGCAGGTGACTCCAGCTCCCCTCCTGGCTGCCTGCCACATGTGCTGGTTGCACTCCAGGCTTCCCTTGTTGCCCTCTGCTGGTTTCTGTTCTGAGCCCCAGCCCAAGCAGGCTGAGATAGTCAGGTGGCAGCCCTGGGCGGAGCTGTGTGTGGAACCATGACTCCTATAGTTCCCAGCCCTTGCCCCTCCGTGTGTATCCTGCATGGAGTTCAGTGGTAGGCCCTCACCTGCTCATGAAGCCCCCCACCCCAACCATCAGGGACTGTTTCCATAGCTGGCATCTGTGCCCAGGACAGGGGTGGCACCCTCAGAACTCCTGTAGCACTTAGTTTGGCACCAGGGTGTTCTGCCTGGAGTGGTAGATGCTGGCCCAATACAACCAGAGAAGCATGCGTGGAAGGCAGGCCTCAGAGTGGCGATCTCTTGGGGGGTGTGGGCTGCTGCATGCCTGGGACGGAGCTCATGTACCCCACCCCGAACTGGGCGAACATCAGCTCCAAGGAGTACAGACCAGTTCAAACCTGGCCATTGGCAGCTGGTGAAATGGCAGTTCGCTGACTTGGGGGTGCGGTGGGGAGAAGCCTGTTTCTGGCCGGTTTTGCCCGTGTCTGATGACCTTGGATAGATGGCCAGGTCACCCCAGACGGCCACATCTTGTGTCTCAGCCCAGTGGAGGAGTTTGTTCCTTTCACTGCCCGAGAAACTGGACGTGGTGGTCCCCTTGCCAACCCAGAGACAAACCCACCCTGTCCCCAAGAAGGCCCTCGCCTCTCCATCCGTGTGTGTCATGGGGCTCTGACTTAGTGAATGTGACTCCCAGGGTGAGCCTTTGGAGGTTGTGAAGGTACTGTCATCCCACCTGCTATGCAGGGAGACCGAGGCCCAGAGAAGCGAGAGGACTAGGCCAGGTCACTCAGCTGGCATGCCTTGGGCATGGCACCGCATCTGGCTGGCAGCCCGGTTCTCCCCTAGTTTGTGTCTTGGAGTCGGGTGCAGGGTGGTGCCGACCTAATGGGAGTTCTCTCTCTCTATCCCTACAGCTGTGTGGCTGCGGGCTGCTTGGAGTGGGCATCTGGTTATCCGTATCCCAGGGCAACTTCGCCACCTTCTCCCCCAGCTTCCCCTCACTGTCTGCTGCCAACCTGGTCATCGCCATGGGCACCATCATCATGATCACGGGCTTCTTGGGCTGCTTGGGAGCCATCAAGGAAAACAAGTGCCTCCTCCTCAGTGTAAGTTGGTCCCTACGCCCCCCAGGCCCTGCCTCTTCCTGCACTCAGCTAATGGGTGCTCAGCCCTTGCTGGGATGCTGCTATGGGCCACACCCATCTTCCTGCCTGACCACGCCCCCTTCCACATGATTGGTCAGCCCTGCCCTTAGTGGTCCCTCCCACTCCTAGGTAAGGTGTCTTGGTGCCTGGGAAGCCCTGTGTGGGAGCCTTCAGTTCCTGGTCCTCCCCCTCCTCTGCACCTGTGCCTGGCCATTATCATCTGCGGGTGCCCATGCCCTGTCCTTTACTTTCCAGTTCTTCATTGTCCTGCTGGCCATCCTCCTGGCAGAGCTGATCTTACTCATCCTCTTCTTCGTCTACATGGACAAGGTGAGCCTGCTCCAAAGTTGCTGGTGGGAATGTTCGTAGCCCTCGGGCTTGGGCCAGAGCCAGCCAGGGGCCTTCCCTGCTTGAAGATGGGAGATGGAAACACAGAAGGTTGGGAGAGCCAGCCAGGCGCGAGTGGAAGGCTGATGGTGTGTGTTGGGTGGGTGGAGGGGAGCAGGGATGGGTGTATGGGGAAGATGAGTCTGGGGGAGTTTGTTACCTAGGGGTGGCAGTAGGCTTCACTGCAGGTAGTGATCCGCTCGTCGTCAGCAGAATTCAAGCACAGGTGTATGTAACCACTTGTGTCTGGTGGGCTGGCTGAGCTGGGTGACTTGAGGGGACTCCATGAGGAACAAGGAGGGGCAGCTACATGTCGCTGCCCAGAGATCCTACGGGAAGGCAGGGGGTGTGACAGGCTGCAGCAGGGGTTCAGGAAGATGGCAGGGGCAGGGATTCCTGGGAACTCTGCCAGGCTGGATGGGTCTCAGGCACTCCGGCTGATCTGCAGGTGAGTGCTATGGACCATGGCCGAGTGCTCAGTCTCCCTCAACACCCTCCCCCAACTCAGTGTCTGTGCCTGTGCTCTTGGTGTTCATGTCCAAACTGCAGTGGAAATGAGAAGGGTTCTTAGGACTCCCCACGGTTCTTGAGAATCGATCTTGACCTTCACACCCTTGGAAGGGAAGATGTGACCATCCTAAGAGACTGCTCTGTGCCAACCCAGCTCTTAGCTCTGCGCACTTTGTTCTTCAGCAGTTGTGTATGAGAGAGAAGACACAAGAGGGCTTCCATCCAGTGGTTCACTCCCCGGTCCTGAAATGCCGGCAATAGCTGGGGCCTAGCTGGGGCTGAGCTGGGGCTGGAACTGGCAGCCAGCAGCTCAGTCCAGATCTCACACATGAGTGGCAGGGACACAGCTGCTGGAGGCACCACGTGCTCTCCTACCACCCCCAACACATGTATTTCAACACACAAACACACACACACACACACACACACACACACAGGTTCTGCTGGGGCACTTCTAACACCACACATACCACCACCACATACACACACCCCCACCCCCCAGGTTCTGCTGGGGCTGGGGATCCTCATCCTGGTGTAATGTGGTATGAACATCTCAGCTGCTCGTTCAAGTGCCAGCCCTTTGGCTCCAAAAAGTGCTGCCTTTACTTCTCAATTCCCCATTATCCATAGGTAGATATTGTTATTAGTTCTATTCCTACATTGCAGATAGAGTAGTTGGGCAGGAGGTCCAGCTGCTGGCTTGTGGGGAGGTGGGTGTGAGAGACCAGAGACATGTCTCCACTTTCTCAACCCAGTGTGTTTTGGGAGAGGCGCTCTGGTCCCAGGAGGCATTGGGGTGACGGCTGTGCACGGGACTGGCCTAGGAAGGGGCAGTGGACAGCTGCTGCCTTTTCACCTCTAGCACTGCAGCCTGGCCCTGGTGATGCTACAGGCCCAGGCCAGGAGCTGAGCTTGCTGCACCCCCAGACCGCAGGCCAGCTGCCTCTCCACCCCTGGGAGGGGCAGAGGTGCTTCCTGGTGCCAGCCAACCTACAGCAGCCACCCTTCACCTTGACAGGTGAATGAGAATGCCAAGAATGATCTGAAGGAGGGCCTGCTGCTCTATAACACTGAGAACAACGTGGGGCTCAAGAACGCCTGGAACATCATCCAAGCCGAGGTGAGGGCCGGGCCACAGGCCACCTGCCCGGGTGGCCGTGGGAGGGGGTGGGCCATGGCCACCTGCCCGGGTGGCTGTGGGAGGGGCTGGGCCATGGGCCACCTGTCCAAGTGGCCACAGGAGGGGCCAGGCTCTGGCCACCTGCCTGGGGGGGCCATAGGAGGGGCTGAGTGGGTCTGACAAAGCAGGACATGGCCAAGGGAAGGGAGAGATCCCAGGAGGGGAACAGGACCCCAACCCAGTCTGGGCAAGCTGCAGCAAGGTGCTAGGGCCACGACAGCCCCCCGACCACTGGTTCACTCTTCAGGTGCCTACTGGCCAGGGCCAGACCAGATCAAAGTCTCTCACGTATGTGGCTGGAACCCTATCACTTGAGCCATCACTGCTGCCTCCCAAGGCCTATATTAGCAGGAGGTTGGGGTGAGCAGCTGCAGCCGGCACTCAAAGCCATAGGTCAGACCTACATGCCAAACATCCAGTCCCCGGAAATGAGATTAGCACCAGGACAAGGTTTGCTTTCCCTCATGGCACCTGGCTTGGGTGAGGAGGCTCTGGTTCCCAGAGGAAACCAAGCCGGTATTTCTGATGCCCCAGTGGAAAGGGACTGGCAGGTGGGTTGGTAGGATAGGGGTTGGCTGCTGAAGTACAAGCTGGAGGGGCAGGTGGGTGAGTGGGCAGCTGGGCTGTAGCCCAGTGCAGACAGCAGCAGGTGGCCATGTTGTGCTACCTGCAGAAGGCATGGCAGAGGGAAGGCATGGCAGAGGGAAGCCATTTTGTGCCATGTCCCTGCCTGGCAGATGCGGTGCTGTGGGGTCACTGGCCACACTGACTGGTTCCCGGTGCTGGGCGAGGACACAGTTCCTGACCGCTGCTGCATGGAGAACTCCCAGGGCTGCGGGCGCAATGCCACCACTCCCGTGTGGACGACGGTGAGGCTGGGGGCGGGCCCTGACACCTGAGGGTGAGCTGCCAGGAGCTGTCTGAGTATGGGTTAGGGTAGGGGATCAGGGGCCAAAGCCAGGAGGTAGGTAGGACATGGAGGGGTAGAGGCAGTGTGGGATCTGGGGCTGTGTGGTTGGCTGGGCCTTGGCAGGTGCAAGCCTGGGCAGGGTGAAGGAGGGCTGGAACTGGGCCACAGGGCATGCGTGGTCTTGGCAAGGCTGTCAGCTGTAGCCCTTGCTCTCCAGGGCTGCTACGAGAAGGTGAAGATGTGGTTTGATGATCACAAGCACGTGCTGGGTACCGTGGGCATGTGCATTCTCATCATTCAGGTAAGGGCTGGGGGCACCTGCACCCGGACATGAGCAGGGAGGGAAGCCCCAGACCCCAGCTAGGATGCAGTGCAGCCAGCATCAGGGATGTCGCCAGGTGCCTCCCAGCTCTGCAGCTGAGCCCGTATCGGTTTGCAGAGCCTGAGCTGGGTAGGTTGGGGGGTGGGGGAGAGCCTGGCCAGGAGGCTGGAACAGGCACTGGTACTGACCTGTGGCAGCTTGGCAGCTGGGGAATCCACATGCAGTGAGGCCTGGGCACTGCCTGCACCACTTGGGCACCTGGTGCAGGCAGTGCCTTCCCAGGAGCGTTTAGCAGGGAGCTGGATGGCAAGTGGAGCCGCTGAGACTTCAACTTGTACTAATAACCCGCTATGCCATATGCTACTTCCAGCTCATCTTTTCATTCCGTTTTCCATTCCCTTTGCAGTCATATTAGCACAAGCACAGCCTCATGGGTGAGGCCACGGGAGGGTTCCCAGAGCAAACAGCAATGACTTGGGAGGTTTTAATGGTCTCACCATCTCCTTCCTCCTGACCTGGATTCCCAAGTCCTTCATGCCCACAATCCTGGAGACCCAAGCTGCATCCCAGGCTGCCACGCCCTCCCTCTAGACCCTGCCCTCTTGTCTTTCAGATTCTGGGCATGGCTTTCTCCATGACCCTCTTCCAGCATATCCACCGGACGGGTAAAAAGTACGACGCGTGAGCCAGCTCACCGGGGACCTGGGCACTGCTGGGGAAGAGAAGCTGTGGGCTTCGCCGGCCCCCCTGCTCTCCAGACTGCAATCCCCACCCCAGCCCCAGCCTGCCCTGCCTCACACTCCCCATCCACCCCGCCTCAGACTGAGCCGAGGCTCTGGGGTGTGGGGCCCAGGAGGCGGCCGGCAGAGGCACAGAGACCTTAGCCGCTGGGCCACTGGATTCCTGCACCCACACCTGCCCCTGTATATTTGCCAAAGACAGCAAGGGTGGGTGGGCTGGGGATGGGCTCGGGGAGGAAGCCCCCTGCCCTTCCTCACACTGACACTTGGTCCCCGCCTCAATGGGGGAGAATGTCCCCAAACCCAGCGGAGGCCACTGCCACCTGCCCGCCCGTGGCCACCTGTGGGAGAGCCGGTAGAGGCAGCCTGCCTGCCTGGGCTTTTTATACCTTATAGTGTAATTTTTTTAAATTTTATTTTACTCCGATGATGGTCATTCAGGAATATTATCCCGCAGATAAGCGTAGGGCTTAGCGTTCTGATTTATAACTTTTTACTGCGTTTGATTTTTTGAACGGTTTGGTTTTTCTCTGCCAGAGGGTGGGGGTCGGATGGGGAGCCAGCGTTGAAGAGGCTGCTGCAGGTGAGCTGGGCCAGGCCTGTCCTTGGTGTGCCCGGAGAGGCGCACTGCTGGGCCTGGCATCAGCAGATAGGGGGCCTGGAAGAAGCAAAGACGAAGCAGATGAAGTGGGGCATCCTGCAAGGGCTGAGCAGGCAGGGCGCAGCCAGGAGAGGGCGACCTGCAGGGGGAGCTGGCCTGGTCCCCACCCGCAAGGAGCAGCTTTTGAGCAGTTTCCCTCCTGCCCTCTGCCAGCCTCCTCTTCCCCTTCACGAGGGCGGTCCTGCCACAGGTTCTGCACACCCCAGTAATTTTCACAGACATTCCTTCTAGAAACTTCCAGACAGATACCTCTCTGGTTCTCGGTTCACATGCTGCTCACTGTGTCTCTTCCTTGCTTCTGGAAGGGAGACACTGCCAGATCTCTTTTTCTTTTCTTTCTTTTTTTGCTGCTCAAACAATGGCAGAGGACCTGTGACCGCCGGGAGGGGAGAAGGGGCTGCAGGCATGGAGGGAACCCCAGGATCTGTCAGCTTCCTTGGGCACTGCTGACATCAGCAGTGACATGCCTGGGTGAGTGGTGACCCCTGGAAGACATCCAGGAAGCCCAGGAGAGAGGGGTCAAGCTGTGTATGGCTGTCCAGGTCCTGGCAGGCACGGCCCTGGGCTTGCAAGCTGCTGGTTAGCTGGGTGGGCTCAGCCACCAGTACCAACACTGGTCTCTCTAGCAGTTTGAAAGTCCAGAGTACCCCGGGCCTGGGCTAAGGAGTGTCACCTGCCCGCTTACTGGGGTCGTGCACACTTCTCACTGCGGGGGGTGGGCATTGCCTCTTCCTCCCGCCGTGTGGCACCTTGCCTTGGTTTCTCAACTTGCCCCATTCTCTTCCCTGGTCTCCCCAGGCCTGTCTGCTCCCAGAGCTGAGACGCAATTGCCCAGCCACCCTATGGCTCCTTGCCTTTGCTCCCAGGAGCGCCCCACTGGGGACCAGGTGTGGAGCCCTTGTGCTATGCTCAGAGTGGACTGGAGGGGAGAAGGTGGGTCTAGCTGAGTGGGCTGAGCGCAGACCTCTGGCCCGAGCTGGGAGAGATGCTGGGAAGGCAGGTATGCACGGGGAACAGTGGACAAGCAGGTATTTGGGTAAAACAACCCCTCCCCCACCGGCCCACCTAAATGCAACGTGAATCCCTTGGCAAGCATGCATTTAGGTGGTCTGGTAGAAGCTGGCATGAAATGAGTTTGCCATAGGTTGAGGGTGGGGCGATTCAAGGTGTCAGTGAAGGTTGGGTTTTGTTTCAGTCAGTGGCTCCCACCTCCCCCCACCTGTCTGAGAGCCTCATCTATACATCCCCAGATAGCCTTCGGGGACCTCAGCCTGTGTGTGGCCATGAAGTCCCTTGGCCAAAGCTACCATGGGAGATGTCTCTGGACCTGGGTGATGGGTGTTCCGAGCCTCTGGCCCGTAATGGAGAATGGTCCCCATGCCACCTGGAAGGCCACCCCAGCTGCTGCCAGGGAGGGTGGCCTTGTGCCCTGGTGACCCCGACTGTGATCCTGGAGAGTGTGGCAGAGGTCTTAGGAGTGGAGCCACGCCCCTGGGATCCCAAGGTTCAGGGGAATATGGGGGTGCTTGGCCTTTCCCTATAGCTGTGTCACTGCTGGAGACAGCAGGTGTTGGATCCCTCATGTTCCCTTGCTCCTCCCTCTTCCAGTCAGGGGGACTTGTAACATGGGCTGCCCCTCTGGGAAGGCAGTGACCATCCCAGACCCTCTTGTACGTGTTCTGCTTTAGCTAAGAACTAGGTGGCCACCGCTCTGGGCTTTGGCGGCCGAGGAGCAGTGCAGGTGGATGGAAGCGCCTGTCCCCTCCCATCAGGCTCCCTGCCCACCGTGTGGTAGAGGTGCTGACCCATAGGGACATGTCCAGTGTGGGAGCTGGTTGCCAGGTGCTTGGGGTCCCATCCTTGGCCCTTGGAGTCTGATCCCCCTTCTTGGCTTCCCCTTCTCCTGTTTTGCTCCTCTCCATCCAGTGGGCTCTGTCAATGGTGGCAAGGTCTCGGGGGGCCTCTTGCCCACTGGCCCACCTGCCCTGGGACAGCCTGGGAGAGCAAAGTATGCACGTTGGTTGGTTTCGAATGCACTTTTCTGCCTGCAATGCCGCATCTGTGGGTTTCCTTCATCCCGCCTCTGGCTTCATTGGACACCATGTTTTTAGCATGTTTTTAAATAAAAATGGATAACGTGTTGAAGCACAAGTAGGCTGGCCCTCAGCGTATGCTTGGTGACTGATTTCCTGTTGCGATTGGTGTGGGGACCCAGGAGAGGACCAGACACTCGCTGTTCAAGGCGCATCTCTGAGCTGGGATTGCCAGTGTCCTGGGCAGCTGCTGGAGGCAGCCAAGCTTATCCAGGAAAGAGCTCGCTGTTGGTGCGGGGAGGGTTCCAGAGTGTGCCTCTGGCTCTGGTGAGGATACCAGAGGGCTTGAATCACCAGCATGGGAGTGACCCCGGGAGAGACAGGAGTCAGAGCAGAAGGTGCGTCAGGCCCTCGGCCCATGCCACTGTATTCAGCCTTTCGTAACAATTCCCATTGACTCATAAAGGCCCTCATGAGTTCTTGTCACCATACTGGGGACCAAATCCTTGGGACAAACCACATCCAAGCATGACATCTTCTGCCAAAGGTCCAGCAGGAGTGGGCTCTAGAGGGCTGTGCCTGGAGGTGACAGGATCAGGAGTTGGCCACCCCCGAGGAGCAGGTGATTCTAACGGCTGCGGAGAAACAGCCAAGTATAGGTCTCCGTGCAGGCCACTTTGTCACTGTTCTCCCTGCTGCTCCAATTCCCCATGGCCCAAGGACACACCTGCTCAGATGCCCCCTGGGTTGATGTGCCATCTGCCTGTGGCTCCTGGGACAGTGGGGCTTGGTCAGATGTGCTGAGTCGTGGATGACCACCAGGGGGCTTCTGTCTCCCTTGGAGTCTTAAGTTTTTGTGTCCATAGGTGGGAGTGACTGGTGGTATCAGAGACTCTCCTAAGCGCCCCCAGCTCCCTGTGAGATGCTGGGGGAATTACTTCCCCATGGCGCTCAGCCAAGAGCAGGTGAGCACGGATGGTCTCTGGGCAGCTTAAGAACAGGCCTGGTACTCAACCAAGACCTCTGCCAGCCCCCAGTGTGGCCCAGCCTGGAGCCTGTTCAGTTGCATGTTTTTCGTGCCTTTGGATGCTAGACTCAGTAGCTCATGACAGATCACAAAGCAAACAGCCTGATGGGGCAGAGACCACGGGAACACAGGTAGCTGCTGGGAGACCTCAGAGCTGAAGGCAAGGAGCAGAAGGAAGTGTGTCCTGACCCTGGAGGTCCACAGAGCTGGAGCTAGCAGGAGGACAGCCAGAAGGAAGACCAGATGTAAGAACTTGAACTTCCTGCTAAGGGCAACGGGGACCCACTGAAGGCCTTTCAGCCTAAGTCTGCCCCGCTCGGGTCTGGCCTCTGGACTAGAGGTGACTGAAGGCGCTGCAGGGGACAGGACAGCAGAGGGTTCAGGGCCCGAGAATGCTGGGATTTAGGGAGGCGGCCGGCGGGATGGATCTGAGAGAGTCAGCAAAGCCTGGCGGCTAATTAGATCTAACAAGGCTTCTTGCCATTCACCCAGCACGACGCACTCACCCTGGACAGGTAGGTGGATGACTAATGGTTTGCATCGAGTGCACTGGAGGGTCTGTTGTCTAGCTCGGTGCTCGTGCGCAGGAGAAGGGCAGAGCTCAGCCTGGCCTAATTAAATCTGTCCTTTTATTTGTATCGAGCGTCACACAGCTTGCACATTGCTTTCCATCAACACCACCCAGGTTCCCCTGAGCGATGCTATCCTATCTGTCATCACTATTAGATGTGCACCATGGTATGAGGTGGCAGCCCGCTGGCTTGGGAAAAAGGCAGGGCCCTGATTGAATTCCCACTCTGCATTTGGTGTGCATGGCAGCTCCGGGCAGTCACGGAACCTGTCTTGGTTCAATGAAGTTCAGTGAGGATAGTGCCTGTGCTGCAGATCCACCTGGGAGGATTAAATAACCATGTATAAAGACAGCTGGCTGACTCCTGGGCAGGGGGAAGGTCCTCAGCAGGAAAGGACAGGATCTAGGTGTGCGAACCAAAGGCAGGAGTCCAGGGAGAGTGGCCTAGGCTGAGACGGGCAGGAGAGTTAGTTGGACGAGGGCACCAGTGTATGCTGGGACAGTGAGTGCCTCCTGGAGCTGGCTGGACTGGCTGCCCTGCACCCCTGTTTTGCCCCGGGCTAGCTCAGCAACAAGCACTCAGCCATAGCAGCATGTGGAAAGCCAGATGAAATAAATGTTGTCATGGACACAGAAATCTTGGCAATGTGACGGTGTACTCCTAAAGCCTTCGGTAGATTGTGAGGCTATTGATTTAGCCATCTAGTTGAGGCTGAGTTTAACGACAGCTACGAGATGGACGGTCTGTCCTGGGTCTAACACAAACAATGCCAGGGGAAGGGGGGAGCTGAGCTCTGCACCCTAGAGCTGCCCCTGGGACTTCCCCGTTGTGGCCCTGGTTACCAGAGAGCTGAGAGCCTGGCTGAGCAGGTGCTGCTTGGTGGCTGTGTGCCGAGGAAGGGATGGGGAACTGGGAAAGTGAAGGCCTCCACTTGAGGTCTGCCCTGGGTCCCTGACTGTTCAGATTCCCCTCCTGCTGCCAGAGTTCTGGAATTCAGTCCAGCCCAGTAACCGCTGTAGGGCTGGTCCAGTCTGTGGTTGACCCCAGAAGGTGTCTGAGGACTCCCAGGGACCTGAAATCCCAACACATTGTCTCTGGAGCCCAACATATTCTGCAGGGATTTTTTTTTTTCCTGGGTGAGACTCCAGTCCCTACAAGGATTCCCCGCTTTCTTGTTTACCCCTTGGCAAGTTCAGAGAGGGGCTGTACTCGAACCCTTGACCTGCGGGTTTCTGCTGTGGACTTGGCGGTTGCCCAGCTACCTTGTGACTTGCAAGTGCAATAGGTGCTCATCACCCCATCAGGCAACACTAGCTGGCTTTTCTCTGTCTTCTGTACAGGCTGACAGTAGGATAGTGTCACTGCTAGCTTGATGTGAAGGCTCCCACCTGCTGTGCCAGCAACCCTTACAGCCCTGTGCCAGTCACTATCAGAGGTGGTTCTGGCTAGAGGTGGCGGCAGGGGCAGAAAGGGAAGCAGCCGCTGTTGCTGCACTTGCACCTGAGAGGGAGAGATCTCTGATCTGCTGAATTTACTCTCTGAATGAGGTTGGGCCAGGCTGAAGCCAGGAGCCGCGGACTCCACCCAGCTCTCCCACATGGGTAGTGGTGGGGGACTCAAGTACTTGAGCCATCACCTGCTACCTTTCAGGATGCACACTGGCAGGCAGCTGGATTAGAAACAGGCAGGACTGGATCCCCGGTAATCCCTTATGGCACGACTCCCTGTGCCCTAAATCCTGCTTCTGTTTGAAGAAAGTAACTGATAGGATCCCCTCCCACTTGCAGCCTATTGGATTAAAAATTTAAAAAAAGAGAACTGTTTATTTGAAAGACAGAACTCTTCACCTGCTGGTCCACTTCCCGCATGGGCACAACAACTGAAGCTGGGAGTGGGAGCTCCATCCAGGTCTCCATGGGCAGCAGGGGTCCAGTTACTTGAGTCATCATGGCTGCCTCCCAGGGTCTGTGTTATAGGAACTTGAAATTGGCAGCCGGGGCTGGGAATCGAACCCAGGCATTTTCCCCTTGGCCAGACACCCACTCTCCATGGCTTGTCTATTTCATGGTGGAGAAGGGGATGGGAACTAGGGGCTCCAGCCTGGGCCTGGGGAGGTCGTGGCGGCTGACAGAGCAGCTGGTCCTTGTTAGCCACCAGGGCTGTTGGACGGAAGTCGCCAGGCACAAGGATGTGGCACCTGTGAGCCCTTGGGTGCTGTGCAGGTGTCCGCGCTCACGGTGGTGGCAGACGCCCTGGTCCGATGGAGTGGATGACTGTGAACGTGACCCAGCATGCGGATGTGTCTATCACGTCTGCTCTGATGGTTCAGTGATCTGAGCCTGACCAGAAAGGGCTGGAAGAGCCAGTCTGTAGACACCCCTACAGACCCCCTTGCCCTACCCCCCTGAGGTCATACAAAGTGGGTGGTTCTCCCCTGGGATCCTCCCTTGCTGGGACCTCCTTGAGCTCAGGCTCCCCTCCCCCTGTCCTACCCTGAGCAAGTCTTCTGCAAATATAGTGACTTAAGGAGGTTTATGTCTCTTAGTGACATCAGGCGGCCTGCTGCTTTCAGCAAAGACACGAATCCCTTTACACTGAGGCTGGGAATGTGTCTCCATTGGGTTGGGCATGGGGAATGGGACCCTTGCTTCTCCCCTGTCATAACACTCCTGCTCGCACGCTGCAGTGAAGCCAAAGGTGGGAGCTTACACTGCAGGCTCCTGAGTCCCTCGGGCAAGGATGAGACCATAGCCAAGAACTGGGGGCGGAAAGCTTACAGCAAGAATAGGCCAAGTCCACATGCTTGCAGCCAGAAGCTACCACAAGCAGGCCCAGGTGGACATGTGAATGATAAGGTGACAAATGCAGAAAAGCTGGATCCTAATCAATACGGTCGATGAGTCTCCTGAGCATACATGAAAGCATGCATGGTGGCCCCGCACCTAGCAGGGGGTAGCAGTGCACTTGGCCGTCTCATTGCCTGGGATTGCCTTGCAGAGGAGCATAAAGCAGATAATGGGAGGCAATATCAGGTACAGGTACAATCCCTTTATTGTCACGCCCCAGGCACCATCACCTGGGCTTATCCTGAGATGAGCCTAGGACAAGGGCGTGTAAGCAGCCAGAGTGCTTTCTGTGCGGTAAGTTAAGGCAGTGGAAGACCGTGATGAACTGCTCCATGGGTCAGGTGGCTCCAGGAGCCCATGTGGCGCTGCCCGCGTCAGACTGCCTGGAATTGCTGGTGGCCTTTCCAAGGGGGCAGGGATGGAGGGGTCTTCAAGTTCACAGGCAGGAGGCAGGAGGGCACACCGGCAGTGTTTGTGCTGAAGCTCAAAGTAATGAGGATATGTGGGTTTGCCCTGGAGCACACAGGCAGTGGGAGGGAAGTGGAGGCAGGCAACATGTCCCCTTCCAGGAAGAGGATGTAGGCACTTGGGTTCCTGGCCAAGGTCACAGTCACCAAAGAGCCCACTGGATCCAGGTAGCTTGAGACACACCTCCCCCAGAAGCAGGGTTCAGCCTTTCCGGTATCGGGCACAGTATTATGTCTCCGAATGCAATCCAAGCAGGCAGCCTGTTCTAGATGTGAGCGCCACCCAGTGGCCACAAAAGACTAGCTTTCTCCTAGGCCAGTCAAGCCACCCGCCCCTGCAGGGGAAGGCCCTGTTGCTGATGGTGGTCCCTAGTCCTACTTCAGGGGTCAGTGTTGGCCCCTGAAATTTTGGGGCCTAGTCTCTCAGCTTCCCTCCCACCTGCTGTCTCAGCCTCTAGCCAGAGAGGCCCAATGGTCAGCTAGAAATCAACCAGGCTGCTAAACGGGCAAGGCCATGGTGCCAGGTGGGGAACAGCTCTGTCTGTGTGGGCTGGGACCCTGAGAACCAGCCTGACGGCGTATTGCCCCAGGAAGAATCGTGGGATGCTGGAGCAAGGTCTCCTCTTGGCTGAGTCATATGCAGTTAATGTCATGGTGCCCAGCACAGGCTCTGGGACACCCCAAATAGCTGTACCTGGGGAACTCCAGGAGTCGGGACAAGAAATAAGAATGGGTGCCAAGCATGCCATCCACTCCCCAAAGCTCCTGTTTGCTCTTGACACCCCAGCAGGGGTCACCTGGGGTGGGGGTGGGGAGCAACACCTCAGGATGCTGGGCTGTCCGGCTGAGGAAGACTGCGCAGGCTCATCACCCTACCCCCCCATGGTGATGGCCGTGGGTGGCCGCTGGCCACTCCTGAGGATGGGAGAGAGTGTGCCTGCCCCAGGGTGACCCAGGTCAGCAGGAATCCAGGGTGAACAGGGCCAGGGGGTGTGGCCAGGCTTGGTCTCTCATGGCTGGCCCTTCACGGGGGATGGGGGCAGGCGAGGGGGTCTCCATGGCAGGAAGAAAGGCAGGGTCTAGGAGGGATGGATGCTGAGCTTGGAGGCCTTGAGTTGCAAGCTGCCGTTCGGGAAGACTCCCAGGAGTTGACGCTCAATCTTTGGTCAAATGGCCATCATCTCCACTCTGAATTTCCGGAGATTTTATATCTGTTCTCATTTAGCACTGGGAGAGGCTCTTCCTCTTCCCTTGCTGCCCAGTGTGGGGAGAGACCAAAAGGTGGGCCTGGGGCGGAGGCGAAGCAAGTGCTGTGAGGCCCAGCAAGCAACAGGACAGTGACCAGGTAGAGGCCCCAGGAGACCTGACCCACGTGGGCCAGAGTGCCTGCTCATTGAGCCTCCCTCACAGCAGCTCTGACTCTGTGGGGCCCACCATTTGGTCCACTCCGGCTGGAGGAGCTGCACAGCTTTCAGAAACCTGACATTCCTCCCACCATCGGGCTTCAGACAGGGGCATGCCTCGGGCTGGGGCTCGGGTGCAGAAGCTGGGAGGGAGCACAGAGGCCAGCACGTGCCCTCCTGGCACCCTTGGGATGCCCCCTCCCGCTTGCTAAGGGGCTCTCTGGCTGTCTCATGGCAGGGCACCTGGTCCTAGGTCCTGCATGAGCAGGGAGTGATGGAAGAGTGGGACCCAGGAGCTACAGCCTCAGGCAGCTGGAGGGCTTGCAGGAGCTGGGCACAAGGCAGGGGGAACCGGAGCTGATTCTGCAGGTCCAGCAGACAGCACCTGGGGGCTGTCCTCTGGGTGCCGGACAGTGTGGCGGTCAGTAAAATGGCCGCAGGAGCCTCTGGTGCAGGCAGCAGGTAATGACCATCCCGCAGATCTGCCGGGGGGAGAGAGAAGGGCACGGAGGCATCAGGGGCCTGTGGAGCTGCGGATCCACAGCACCGCCACTGGTGTGCACACAGCTGCCCTGGGGCCCCAGAAGCACTGGGGTGGAGAGCGGAGGGGAATGCTGTCCCGGGTGCACCTGCTGCTCTGTGGTCCTAGGTCCCCTTCATGTCTCATTAGGCTTGGGGATGGAGCAGTCCCTAGCTGGACAAGAAGCAGCCATAGCATCCTGGCCAAGCACATGCAGGCAGGGCACTTCCACAGCGCTTTGTTCTTCCCCCCTTGCTCCTCCTCCCTCTGACCCCCCCTCCCGAATGCACTGAAAAGAGGAAATGGGGGTGCAGCAGGCCAGGACCATGGGGTATCACCAGGGTCCTCAGACGCCAAATGCTAGTGTTTAGGGGATCATGATGCTCTCCAGGGGAGAGGGATCAGGGCAGGCAGCGCCCCCTCCATCTCCCTTGGGCACCTGGCGGGAAGGTGGCTTTCCCTCAGTGTAAGAACAGTGACTGTGCTCAGCGGTGACTGTGCCCAGGTGACCTGGCTGCCCATGGGCTGCATCAGAGGGAGGAGGTGGGCAGCGGGAAGTCACAGAGGACTAGTCTCCACCATCCCCTCCTGCCCATCGCAGCTCATCTTGGAGGGCAGCAGAGGCTGGGGGTGCCGCTCATCCGTCAGTGGTTGGGTGGGGGACTTCCCAGGTTATTTCCCTCCCCCCCCTCCAGATTTAAGCAGGTAGCTGTGGCAGTGTTGCACACCCTCCTGCCCTGTTGCCACCACCTGTGGGATTATCTGGATCTTCCTGAGCCATAAGGATGGCACACAACCTTGTATACCAGGTCTGGCATCTCCCGCGGGTAACAGCTCATCGCAGGGGAAGGCAGAGCTTCACACGTGTGCACACACACAGGTACATGCTTTGGGAGGACCACGTGCATGTTCCTGGTGGGCTCCTGGGCATGTGTCTTAGCACACACACATACACACGCATTCCACCCTCAGTCACATGGATGGCACAAGGATGCCAGCCACAAGAGCCCTGAGAGCAGCCCCCTCCTGCAGGACAAGGAGGAACCAGCAGGGCCAGTGGTAAGCAGCCAGCAGGTGCAGGAGCTGGAGTTGAAGGGAGGCGTGGCCAGGAAGGACCAGGGCCGGGCTCACGGGGTGGGCCTGGGTGGAGTCCTGAGCTGGCCCCTGGCAGCCATCAGAACGCACGAAGGAAGTCTGCAAGGATCGGCCCTGACCCTGTCAGGTGCAGGCCTCCTCTCTTCAGCGTCCCTGCCGCCCCTGGCCTGTGCGGCCACCAAGAGCTCAGGACCACGGCTGCTTGACTCCGATGGCAGTTCTACTTCCTGTTCTGCATGTTTTCTGGGACCTTCCCTGTCTGACTTGGGCATTTAAACTCACTGAGCTGCCCCCTTCTCTGCCCATCTCCTGAGCTCTGCTGCCATGTTAACTTCCAGGCCCCACACACCTGCTCCCTTTGTACCAAGTTGCACTAGGCAGATTTATAGGAGCCCCAAGGCCTTGGCACCAGCTTCAGCCTGATTTCCCATTTTAAAAACTGTACTGAGGTACACATGGGCCTTGCAGGTGAATTGGGACATCCTCACATCTAGGCAAAGTTGAGGGCCACTGCCATGGAGGCCCTGGGAGCTGGGGCCCGAGCTAGCACCTCCCGCACAGCTGCACACGTTGCCAGGACCTGGCTGACGTCAGCATTCCTGAGCACAGGGAATTCTCTGGTTTTCAGTGTGCGTAAACCACTGTGACATTCCGGGAGGCATCAGTTCTGAGACAGTGTCACAGAGGTGGGGGTCTCACTCGCCTGAATTGTGCACAGTTAGAAGCAGCTGGTTTGCAGAACCCCCAAGTGCAGCTCAGGGCCACAAGAGAGTCGGGTCTTCTGTCCTGGACCAGTCTAACTCTGATCTGAATAGCTCCGCCTCCTAGGATGGTTGACTAGGGCTCCTATGCAAGACTTCTGCTGTGAGGAGGATGTGATTCCTTGCACAGGTGCCCAGTCCAGCCACTTCACAGGTGAGGAAACTCAGGGTTCAGGCCGAGGCCACACAGTGAGAGGCAGAGCTGTGTCTTGAATGTGGATCCTCTGATACCCTCCACCCCCTACCCCGTGCCCAAGTAAGGGTTCTCCCAGTTCCAGAGATCAGGAAACAGCTGCTGTCTCTTGTGCATTGGGTCTTTGGGGTGCTACACTGGGGTGTTAGGGAGGTGCCCGGTGTCTGCCATGCTTGGGGAGCAGGCCTGGAGCGAGCCCTCTTTCAGGCTTGAGTGGGATCACCGGCTGGAACCCGGCAGCGTGATGACCAGCATTTACCAGCAGAGGGCGCTCTGCAGCTGCAGAGCCAGCTCAGTGCAAAACACTGGGGAGCAAATTGGGCCGGCAGTTCAGTTCCCTGGCCAGGTGACCCCAGGAGTCGCTCATGGAGCGTCTTGGAGGATTTTTCATGCTGGAGGATGTGAGTGGGGAGATGGTGTCTGCAGGCCTGCAGGTGCACTGTCCACACCCGGTCTCCTTGACCTTTGACTATTGTCTAAGGTGCAGGGCACTTAGAAGCTGCCCAGGCCTGGCTGGTATCCATACAGAGCTGGTCCTTGGTTCCCAGGGATAACCCCTCTGGGGTTCAGCATATAGGGCAGTGCAAAGTGGGGTGTACGGTGATGTCCTTGGGGTTCCCTGTGTGTCTGAGTAGGGAACAGTCAGGGTCTTACGTGCCCACACAGGCTAAGCACTGTGGGCATTGCTGAGCAAAATCTATTGATTATAGAAGCAAGGGGGTCTCTGGGCACTGCCTTCCTGGCACGCAGGGCTGGAACTGGGTTCTCCTGGCCCTGGGTCCTGGTGCATAGGTAGCACAGTTATCTGCAAGACTGCACAGGAACTACCTACCTTGGCTGACTTATAACAGTGTTAGGGATGGCCAAAGAGGCCTGGGCATCCATTCAGGGCAAGCCACTTTTCTGAGTCTAACTTCCTGATCGTGAAATGGAGAGAGCTCGACTGGTCCCCCTACCCGCCCCAACCAGTGCAGCTGCAGGGAACCCAGTGTGGGGAAGCAGCCGAAACTTCTCTGTTGTCTATAGGGACCTGCGTGAAAACAGCCCCCCTCTGCCGGGCATCGCCTGCTTCGGATTCAGACAGCAGGAGCCTGTGGGATGATCTGCTTCCTGCAGTCTGAGAACGCTGAGGGCAGAGGGAGTTAAGGAACTGCCGAAGGTCACACGTGGGCAGAACAAGCCCCTCATCTTGTGACATTGAAGTCCCTCCCCTTGCCCTGGGTGGCCCGGGAAGGGCCCTGCAGATCCCAGGATGGCTGAGTCCTTCTAGACACGCAGCACCTGTGTGGCTTTGGCTGGGTGAGATGGGGAGTGCAGGGGCCTGGCTCGCTGCCTCTGTCCCTGACCTCTGCCTTGGGGTCCTTGGCTGCATTAATAGTCTTCTATTTGCATGGTGCTGGGGGAAGGGAGAGAGCTGGTATAGAGGGCAGAACACATGCACGCACACATCTTCCCAAAGGCACTAGGCAGGTGCACGGCACACATGCTTGTACGCCTGAACCCGCACACACCGCCAACCACATGGACCCAGATACAAGCAAGCACGCACGAGTCCACACACACCACGGCAGGCTGTGCGTGCCCCACTCCTCTGGGCATGCACACACCTGAGCCCACACTTGTACCTGTTCCAGGTCCCTGTTCCTTGTAAGTTCAGGCTTTCAGGTTGCCCAGTGCTCTGTGGGAAGAGACCTAGCACCTGCCCACCCTGTCTTGGCTATGGAGAAGTGGGCAGGGCACAGGCAGGGCATGGGTCAGTTACATGAGGTCAGCATTTGCCATTTCAGCCCATGGGAGCAGGTGGGCTTCTTCCTTGACCCCGTCTCCCAGTACCCTTGCTTCAACTCACCTGTAGGCAGGCCACCCCGATGCCCACCGCTCCCATCAGCAGCAGGTGGTCTGCCAGGAACTGCTCCAGCTTGGTGATGCAACCACCCTGTAAGGGAGCCATGGTTATGGGCGTCTAGGCCATGACAAGCGGGGAGTGGGGAGGGAAGGGCTGCCCAGTCCTGTGTGTCTCGCTGAGGAATGGCTAAAGCCTGAAACACAGGGGACCCCCAGGCAGCCCTGGACTCTTCCCACCAAGATCTGTCTTTCCCAGGCTGGCTGCTGGCATCACAGCCAAGGTGCGCACACCTGTTGGAGGTGGCTGTGCTGGAGGGGCAGTGGTGTGTGTTGGAGAGTTTAGGTGCTCACCTCCACCTTATAGATGTTGGAGGGATGGACGCGCTGGCCACAGCGTGCCACCACTGTCTTGCAGCAGCTGTCGGGCACACGGCGTCCCTGGGCGGCCCCGGATCGGATGTACACGCTGTGCTGCCAGTCCTCTGAGCTGTTGCTCCCGCAGCACTTGAACTGGAGGAAGAGTTGGGGACTGGAGGAGAGTACGCACTCACCTGGCTGAACCCCAGCCCCCTGCGCCTCTTGAGAGTCCCTGCCCCCTGTGTGTGTGTGTTGGTGTGTGGGTCACCCCCTACCCTGGAGCCTTCCCCTGGGGCTGCTCCAGGATGCTGATCTTGGGGGCGCCACCTGTCTCCAAGTCCTTTAAGGGGATGGTGCTGGGGGTCTGTGAGATGGGCAAGAAGCCCCGGGACAATGGGACTGTGTCCCACGGGGTGGCTGAGACAGGCCGCGCCACAGGTCCAAGAACCTTGACCCCCTACTTGCTAAGGAGTTCCGGGGTTCACAGTCCATGGCCCCAGGCAGCTGGCTGTGACTCAGGGGCCTGCGTGAGTGCTGCCCAAGACTGGGGCCTCACGAGCTTCCCAGCAGCCACAGGGAGAGTCAGACATCAGGCCCTGGTCACAGCTGGCCTTTCCAGCTGGGCATTGATTCCCAGCTGCGCAGGTGCCAGCAATGAAGCTTGGAACCGGGCCGGACCAGACAGCAAGGTGTGGATGCTGGCCATCTCCTGTCCCCTCACCATCCCACCTGATGGGTTTGCATAGTGGCTGCACACAGCAGTGAGTGCGCTGGGCTTGCCGGGGGAGCAGGAGGAGGCAGGTGCGGAGAGAAGCGGATGGGCTGGGGGTGTCCAGGCGCACGCCCAAGGTGCTGGATGTAGCAGCACACAGCAGCCTTGGGCACATGTAGCTTACGTCCTGCTGCAGGCGGTCCATCGAGGCTGTGATGTCCTGGGCTCTGGGCTGCCCATAATTCTCGGTCAGGGTCCGGTTCAAATGCTGCTTCAGTTCGTCACTCAGCTGAGGGGGTGGACAGTGAGGTGGCATCCGCAGAGACTCCCCCTGTTTTCCCCCCAGGACCTCTGCTCCCTGGCATCTGAGATGCCACAGTGGACTTTGGGTAGTGGCACAGCAGGGGCTTCTCAAAGGGTGTGATGGGACCCTTGGCAGGAGACAGCATGGAGGACAGAAGTGGCATGGGCAGAGGAGAGGAGAGGCTGGACACAGCTTGTAGAAGCTGTCACAGCCGGGGGCTGGACACAGGGATGTCTCAAGGCAGCTGTAGGGTTGAAGTTTAATTATGAGGAGATACTCAGAATATGTATGACCCCACTATGCAGGTGCTATAGATGGTTGATCACGCTGTCTCTAGCAGCCCAACCTCCAACCTCACTCCGTCCAGAGTCCCTCGGTCCAGAGGGGCTGGGCTGTTCACTTCAGCCCTGTCCAGTCTAGGCAGCTCGAGGCCTGACTCTGTTCTTATCCTTTTACTGACTGAAGCTGGCCTGAACAGCTTCCCTGGATGTTTTTTTTTTTTTTTTTCTGGACACATCTACGCATGGATGGGAAGGAATGGGGACAGGGCACTTCCCCAAAGGCCATGCTGAGGTCATGGGCACCAACAGAGGTGGCTGGGAACAGCAGCGGGCAAAGGACTAGCCCCAGGACCAAGCTGTGGGATCTGCCTCAGTTTCCCCATCACGGCCACCCTCTCCGTTGCTGCTTCTCTGGGGACCCTGCCCACAGGGAGCTACCACTCACCCTCTGATAGTACACGTGGGCCAGAACGCCAGCCACCAGCTCCACCAGGAAGATGACAAGCAGCAGACAGAAATACTGGGAGCAAGGAGAGATGATAGTCACTGCCTGCTAGGCACCCCTGAGCGAATGATTCCCCAAGGTGAAGTGGTGGGGGCACCAGCCAGGAGCCCCGTCATTGCACCAGCTGTCCCCCTTGTCAGCAGACCCTTGCGGGTCACTCCACTGGTTGACCCAATTCCTGCTACTGGCAGGACTGGGCAGTGCTGCACCCAAAATGCCAGGAACTTCATCTTGGTCTCCCACTCGAGTGCAGAGGCCCAAGCACTTGGACCGCCATCTGCTGCTCTCCCAGGTGCATTAGCAGGAAGCTGGATCTGAAGCAGAGCAGCCAAGACTCAAACTGGCGTTCTGACATGTGTGAGCTGTGAGCACTGCCAACCAAGTGGTGGCTTAGCCCGAGTCCGCTGTGTTGGCCAGCAAGCTGGAGGGCTGTGCAGCCAGAAGTCATGTAAGCAGCTGAAGTCGGGAAGCCAGAAGAAAGCTTGCAGTCACCTTTGCCTGCTCTAAGTCTGGCTTGGCGCTGTTTTCTGAGTCTCTAAACAGCCCCAACAATGACGCTCCCGGACACCAAGGGTGCTGTTGGGAGGTGTTGGAGTTCAAGGCCAACTCAGCCAGACATGATGCTGTCCAGCACCTCCTGGCCAGCCGGCCACCCCAGGTACTCCTCCTAAGCAAAACACGGGGTTCACCAGCTTCGCTGCTCAGAACCTACTAGGGTTGGGTGGGGCAGAGTGTGTGCCCCAGTTCCCTATAGAGCCAAGGGGGAAGGGCCCCTCCCACCCCCACTTTGCTCACTCAGGGCTCCTTCCTTGGCAGAGCTGGGACCTTCCTCACCCACGCTGTTCCAGGGAGATGCCAGTCCTGGCCAGGCACACGGTGGGGCACTCCCTGATTTCAAGAGTCAGTGTTTGCACCCTTCCTCTGGTGCCAGCCCCACAGAGGCGTTCTTCTGGCTAAGACTAGGTCCCTGTCCAAATATAAGAATCCTTCGCAAAGTTCACGGAAAAATGCAGTGAAAAGGTGTCATACATTTTGGTGCAAATGGATCGCGCTTGTTAATTCTGTAACAGGACAGTCTGAGCGAGAAGCGAAGCTGGGCGCTCTGCACAACTTCAGCTCCAAAGGGGAGCAGGGGGGGAAGCATTCTCTGAGCCGTGCTGAGACTTTTATGTAAGGAGACAGTTTGCAGGAGATGTGGAAATAGCTCTCCTGTGACAGCAGGTGATTAATTAGAAAGCAAGAGGGTCCTAAAAGCCTCGGGGCCAGCGTGGCGTCAGCTGGCATCATCTCGGAGATGAATTTCAAGAACTTTGTCAGGTTGGAATTTCAGAATTTCTGCCCTGGACTAATGAGAAAGCAGGGTATTTTGCTGAAGTGTTCCTTATTTGTGCGACCCAGCATCTTGCGGGGTTAGACACAGAAAAGGATTGTAGGGGACATAGGCAGGGTCAGGGGTGGAGGCGCTAGCCGGCTTTCAGCACCGCTTGGCAATGCCGGCAGTGGAGGATCAGACAGCTGCCAAGGCTGTGTCGCAAGGAGATGGGGTCCAGCCAGAGGCTCCCAGCTGGCCGTGCGTGAGGATCACAGAGGCAGTGGCCAGACCTCAGAGCGGCTGGGGCTAAACAGGAAAAGAGGAGCCAGCTGTTGTAGCAACCATGACCTCAGGGCGAATTGTTTTCTGGCAATGAAAAGCCACACTGTTGGCGCAGAGAGCGCAAAGGATGTGAATTCGGGAGCCTCATGCTGTTCCTGTAAAGATGTCACTGTTGGAAGGATGAAGGTGACCTCTAACCCTCCTAGCTCCAGTCATGCCAGATACTGGGACTCAGATTTTCCAATTGGGAGTCGAAGTGAGGGCGGCCCAAGGCTGGCCAGGTCGACCAGGAGACTGGAAGAGGGAGCAAAGTGGGCCATAGGAGAGAATGCAGTTGAGGGGCAGCTAGAGGCCAAGCCAAGATATCAGGGACCAAGAGGATCCTGCCGTGCACACGTCGGTGGGAGGGTCATGGAAGGGAGACCACTGACTGAAGACGGGCCTGCCAGGATCCAAGCTGGGACTACCTAGGGGATTCAGTTGGCCTGGGCTCAGAGACAGGAGGGCCTTGGCGTGAGCCATGGGGCCTGGCCAGCTGCTGGCCCAAGTGGGGATCAGACTCCCCATGGGAGGACCTTGCCACCTAAGGGCTTGGGACAAGGGGAAGGGACTGATCGCCCTGCTGGCTCAGGGAGAGATGGTGAACCCAAGTGCAAAAGAAGGGGTGCCATGCAAAGTGACAGGTTTTGACAAGGGACACTGGTGACAGGTCCCTTGCTGTGCTGTTCTTAGGACAAGAGGACTGCAGGAGGAAAAGGCAGCAGCAGCAGCAGGAGAAATTCCAGCCAAGGGCAAGAGGAACGAAACCCCACACACCAGGCACCAGCCGGGAGGTGAGGGCAGGTCCCGGGCTCGGAGCCTCCTACCAAATCCAAGCCCGGACATAAGCCGCCTGCACGGGCCTTTCTGTGTTCCTCACCAGATGCCAAGACAGGAACCAGGTGGCAGTCCCTTCTTGTCTCCTGGCCCATAGCACCCTGCCTTGTGCCCAGCAGAGCAGGAAAGGTGGGGGAGTGTGCCTGCAGCGCCTATCGAGGCTGATGAATGAGGTGGTTCCACCAGGGTGTGAACTGCTGAAGGTCGGGAGGGAGGGGGAGTGGAGGAGGCTGCAGGAATAGTGCCCCATGTGCAAAATGCTGCTGGAGGTGGTAGTGGCCAAGTGCACCTGCTATGGCCCAAGCGAGGTGGGTGTGGATGCACAATGGAGCCTCTTGCAGACGCGGGGAATGTCATAGAAGGTGCGGTAGGATACTGTTGAGCAAGTTCTTGGCCTCATCTGCACAGAACACCCGAAGCCAGCATGAGGACTGAATGGCCTCTCCCCTGAGGCTCTGCGTGCTGAGTGAGGGGTACTGAACACCACCACGGGGGGAAGAGATGTCCCCAAAGCCACAGCCGGGACTTGGTACGAGAGCTGTCCTTGAAAGAACCACGGGGCCCAGAGCGGGAACACAGCTCTCCCCAGCCTCAACAGACACCAGATGGGGCCTTAGATAGCAAGGCCGAATCCTAGTCCCCTCCCACCTCCCCTGTCATCCTTGTCCTCCACTTGCCAGCTCATGCCCTGTGGGCAAGTGCTGATGGCAAAAGGTTCATTTTCACATCATGGCTATGAAATGCCACTGGTTGGAAAACTCTCAGCCTGTATTCATAGAATTCCCACCCAGGTCTTTCCTGGGGCCCCTCTGCTCACAGTGCTCCATGGTTAGGGTCCTGTCTGCCCAGGTAGGTGAGAGGGATGCACTGACTTGGGTAGGCAGGTTCCAGAGATGGGGCAAGGAGGTAGGGACACAGAGAGGGGCGAGGCACTGCACAATGGCACAAGAAACCCTTGACTTGGGATGCAAATGGGGATCAGCCCATTCTGTTAAATAATACACATGCACAAGAACACGTGGACACACACGTGCACACGTGGTCATGCATATAAGTGCACACATGTGTGTGCCTCCCCACATAGTGTGACTCTCGCTTCAGGTTCAGCCCTGAGACTTGCTCAAGGTCCCCTCACCTCCGCCATGGGCATTCACCCACCCACACAGCACTGAGGCTGACTTTCTGTGGTCTCACACACACCTGCAGGATGTTAGCATCCTGACCCTTGCCCTGCACTTTGGAGTGCACCAGGTCGCCAGGGGAAGCTGGTATCTGCTTCTCACCCCAGCAATCTATGCACCCTTTTTGGAGGTGTCCAAATGGAGGGGGTGGCCAGCAACAGAAGAGGCCTTGCCCAGAGCTCTGGGCACCAGCCTGGTCCCGCCAAGCTCTAGTTGAGTGGCACGAGGTAGGTCCCTCCTTGGCTGAGGACATGGGTGGTGGGTACACCTGCAAGTGGCTGGCACCACTTCCGGCACAGCCCTGGACTAGGTGAGGCTGGCGAGAAGAAGGGTAGGTGGAAAGAGTCACCAGGGTCCTTAGACCAGGGGCCCATGGTCCACGGGCTCTGTGCAGCTGCCCTGGTTCATGGCCACAGCCAAGGCCTGCCTCTGCTGAATGGCCTTGTCAGGGTCCAGCTCCGGGAGGCAGAGCATGCAGTGAGCCGTGTCAAAGCCACCTCTTGGGATGGCTAAGTCTCCTGGCATTCACTGCTCTGGTGAGCCACACAGGGCGCACCTCTCAGCTTAGGACATGAATGCCTTGGGCTGAATGACCAGACAGGGAGCTCTGGGCAGCACCCAAAGGAAGTCTCTGGGGGCTGGATTTGGCGGCCCCCTCCCTCCTGCCACTTGTGCCAGCCTCCTCAGAGAAGTTGCCTCACCGGGGTTGGGGTAAGGGCTGGGGTACCCTGGAGGAAAGGCCGTAAGAATAGCTCTGTGGATGTGGGTCCCTTCTCTAAGGAGCCCAGCCGCAGCGATACAAATACTAATTACAGGCATCGTTTGATGCTTTAGATCACGTGGTGACCCGCCGTCCCTGAGACCTGGAAATCTGTCCTCATTATCCTCACATTGTACAGGGATGGAGACACCCCAGGGCGGGGGTGGAGTGGGGCAGGAGGGGCAGAGTCACGGGGCAAGCTGCAGCCGTGGGTGGCTCTGGAACCCAGCTGTGTAGCTCACCACCCTGACAGCCACATTGCGGCAGATGCAAGCGATGCTGGTGTTGGCACTCTGGGTTCCCTGGCTTTCTAAAAGTACTTTCTAGAACTTTATACTTCTTCCATATCAAGACTATGAAAAAGCCACCCCTCCCATCCCTGACCCGCAACCCTGACAAAGGCCAGGCTGTGCTATGACCATCCATCATCATATGCACTTGGACTTGGCTGAAACTGTCACAGTTCTCTGAGCGCCCGTATTCCAAACACTAAAAATATCCCTTTCCTTAGGCCTGGGGTGGGGGAAGGAGCGGGAGGAGGCACCTCTGTCCTGGTCCCTGGCCTGAATTTTCTTTGTCTTGCTTGAGCAGTTTTGGCTAAAAAGGAAGATCTGGTGTGAATAATTTAGATCCCCTTTTCTGTGCAGACTTTCCAATGCCATGCTCAGCATCATCACCATTTTGGCTCGGGAAGGTGACTCTGAGAGTGGCTGACATCCTGGGAGGACATGAGGACTGGAGCAGGTGCCGTGGCTCCGCATGCATGGGCCAAGGACTTGGGACCTCTGGCCGCCCGCTGGCCTTCTGTCTTCTCCCAAACCAGCCTTCAGGTGCCCGCTCTCCCCCGTTCCTCTTTAGGGACCACTCGGGGTCGAGCCGGACTCGCTGTGTCTCCTGCGAAGGCGTCATCAGCCTTTAGGCGAGGGACGATTTCCGTGGGAAGTCGGACATGGGGAGGGGGAAGAAACCGGGTCAGTGCCGGGCAGAAGCCTCCCCCTGCCACAGGAAGCATGGAACCCAAAGGCATCAACTCCAAGGGCAAGGCCGGTTTTTCGCTGGCTCCTGCTGGTCTAGCCCCAGCAAAGTCTGAGGGCAACCTCTTCTTGGGCTGCACAAGCGAGGGCTTTGTAGCTCATGGGCCACTGGGCCAGGCGGGAGGGTTCTCAGGAGACTCTGCCTCAGCCTGTGTTCTGGGCTCAGACTCATTCTGGCATGGACAGGGAAAGCCCACACAGAAGATTCCAGGCTGTGCCGGGAACTGTTTGTGGGGCCCTGATGTACTGAGTGTGTGTGTGTGTGTGTGTGAGTGCCTGGGACTTAGGCTGCTGTCTGCAGATGTGCCTGTCTGGGGAGCTCATCCTAACAAGAGGGAGCAGGTGGGTCCCTAGAAGAAGGGCAGAGCGAGGGGAGGAAGCCACCTCTCTCAGCAGCTTCTGCAGCAGCTTCTGCAACAGCTCCGGCACCCCAGTGCCATCCTCTCTCCAATCCCACCTGCCAGCCTCCCAAGGGTCAGGGGCTGGGCAAAGGAGTGCCCACCAAACCTCCAGTGGGCACCGGACCCTGGCCTGCGCTTACTCAGAGGCAGTGTGCGTGGGCCAGAGCATGAATTTGGGGTCGCACACTGTTCCTAACACTGTGCACCATCAAGTTGGAAGCTTCTGACATCTTGGCTGCCTCAGTATCTGTCCCCCGAAAAGAGGCTGTGAGCACCTGTTCAGGGGGCCATGGACACCGGTTGGGGGGGATCCAGCCAGTCTCCACCTGTGACCCTGTGATGTTCATATGCCTCCAGGAGCCTTGCATGCTGGGCCTGCACACAGCAGCTTTCATATCCAGGACAAAAGAGAAAAACTAGGTCGCTGTTGTGGCCTGGCTCCCACGGTCAGTGTGCAGAGTGAAGGTGTGAGGTCTCTGTGGGTGCTGGGAAGCAGGGGGAGCCCCTTTGGGGCTTCTCCCTGCCGCCTGACTTCTTTCAGGCTCAGCCTGATTTCCCTGCGCCCGACATGTCCTTGCTAAATCCGGATGCTACCAGTTTCTCTGGTGACTGTCTTCTTTCAGCACCCCCTCTCTTTGGCCCTCGGGAGGGGCCGCAAGCTGAAGGCACCCATGCCCCAGAGAGCCCGTTCCTGTCCTGCACCCAGGGTGTGGGAGCTGGGCACCGCCAACTGCAAGTGGCCTCCAGGCTTCTGGCTCGTGGAGGTCCATCCTGACCCCCCACCTGGCTCTCTGAGTAGGAGTTGATGCCATCCGCAGCTCCCCAGGGGTGAGCCTGCCTAGCAGGTGGTGCCGTGGCCCCAGGAGCATCAGAACATCTCAACTGGGAGACCGGAAAATCACCTGGCTCCCCAAACAGGGAAACTATGAGAGGAGAGGGAGGGAGGAACAGAAGGTTAGAGTGAGAGAGGGAGGGAGGAAGGGAGAGAGAGGGGTGCAGTCTCAAAGAGACCCGGGAGGCGAATCAACCCATTTTAACATATTGACCTAATTTAGATTCTGACGCACAAAGAGTGGCTTATGGTTCCACTGTGCAAACTGGAACCTGCCCGGTTATTCCGTGAACGTTTTCAGCTACAACAAGGGAACCATTGCTATGCGTTCTAGAAGAGGGTCCTAGATGGGGCTGGCACAGTGGTGTAGCTGGTGAAGGTGCTGCCAGCTGGTTTGTGCCCCCGTTGCTTCCTTTCCCATCCAGTTCCCTGCTAATGTGCCTGGGAAAGCAGCAGCAGATGACCCAAGTGTCTGGGCCCCTGCCGCTCACGTGGGAGACCCGGATAAAGCTCCAAGCTCCGGCTGGGGGCTACCCCAGCTGCTGTAACCATCATGGGGTGTGGGAAGCAGAGTGAACCAGTACATACAAGATCTCTGTTTCTCTTATTTACTCTGTAGCTTTTTCATATAAATCCATTAATTTAAAAAAAAAACAAGAAAGGAGTGCTGGAGTTTTGAGGTCCTCACCGAGTCCCGATGGCCTTTGACACAGACCTGGGGTGGGGCGTCAGCAGGACCCAAGAGAGGGCAACGCTGAGCCAGGATCCACCATGGCAGGAAAACTGTTGGAGTATGGGGCTGGGGAACAGGAAACGCCACTGCCCAAAGCAGCCACCTGGGGTCGCTCTCCCAGACCCTGCTCCCTTCTCCTCCTTGGTGGGGGATGCATGCGCAGCAAGGGTGGGCTTCCCCTCTTCCCCGCCCCAGCAGGTGCAGGGTGGCACTCACCGTGGACAGGCAGCTCTTCTGCTCCCGGATGATGGCGCCGAAGCCCAGGCAGCCGGTGGCCGTGACGAGCGCGCCCGCGAAGATGAGGATGTAGGCAGAGGCGGCGAAGGTGCTGGACGCCAGGACGCCGAGGTAGCCGCTCTTCTCCACTAGGGTCCACACGCCCACGGCCATGACAGCCACCCCTCCCATCTGCGGGACACCCCCAGTTAGTGCACGCTGCACACCTGCACCTCTCCAGAGCCCACCACGCCCAAGGAGGTTCCAATGCTCATGCCACTGCAGGGAGAGCTTGATTCCTGTTACAGCCGGGAGATACAGACTTGACCCAGGTCAAGCGGAAGCGAGTGGCAGGGCTGACCCTAAAGCCCTAGTCCTCACAAGGGCGCCTCCTGGACATCTGCAGTAAAGTTCTGACACCCCAAGTCCCAGTGCCCTGAGTCCTCCCTCTCCTCCTTTGCTCTGGGGGAGGGGAGAAGCTCTCAGCCTTTGCCCCTCATCTAATAAAATGTTGAAGAAATTTCACTTTATGGGCCCAGCACGGTAGCCTAGTGGCTAAAGTCCTTGCCTTTGAATGCGCTTGGATCCCATATGGGCACCAGCAGCCCCGCTTCCCTTTGAGCTCTCTGCTCATGGCCTGGGAAAGCAATTGAGGATGGCCCAAAGCCTTGGGATGCTGCACCTGTGTGGGAGACCTAGAGGAAGCTCCTGGCTTCAGGTCAGGTCAGCTCCAGCCATTGTAGCCACTCGGGGAATGAACCAGTGGATAGAAGATCTTCCTCTCTGTCTTTCTTCCTCTCTGTGTATCTGAATTTGCAATAAAAAATAAGTCTTAAAAAAATTTCACTTGAGATGGAGAGAGACAAAGGGACAGACAGAAAGAGAGAAACAGAGAGAGGGCGCACACTCCCAGGCAGCTGCTCACGACAGCTCTGGCGTGGAACAGGATGGGAACGGGGAGCTGGGAGACCTCCCACGCGGATAGCTGAACCCTCGCCACTGTCTCTCAGGGTCTGGACAGTCACAAGCTGGAGTCGTAAGAGTCAGGAGTGAGAGCTGGGCTGGGGGGCGTGTCTTAGCCCCTAGGTCAAATGCTCACCCAGCAACAGGTGTTAGAGAAAAATTCTCAGGGGGACTGGCATAATGGCTCAACTGGCTAATCCTCTACCTCCAAGTGTCAGCATCCCAAATGGTTACCAGTTCCTGTCCTGGCTGCTCCACTTCCCATCCGGGTGCCTGCTTGTGGCCTGGGAAAACAGTAGAGGACAGCCCAAGTCCTTGGGATCCTGCACCCATGTGGGAGACTTGGAGGAAGCTCCTGGGATCAGATGGTGTCAGCTCTAGCAATTGAGGCCATTTGGGGAGTGAACCAGTGGATGGAAGATCTTTCTTTCTCTCTGTCTCTCCTTAGCTCTGTAGATCTGCCTTTCCAATGACAATAAATAGAGAGAAACCTCTCGGAGGGTGTGGCTGGCTGGTGGTCTGGGCAACATGCCTGATGTAGGACTTGTCTGCCAAATGCTCCACCCACAGCTCTCTCTGCTGGCGTCACAACGCCCTGCTGAGTCCCTGAGGGCCCCCCACCGCCCGCTTCCTTCACTCTCAAATAAGGGTGCGGAATGAGACCCCCTGGTTCCCAAGGGAGCACCATGAGGCACCCCTTGGATCATCTTGCCCTGTGGGCGTTATGTGTTGAGGGCTTTTGCCTACCAGACACAACGCATTTATTAAGCAATAATTCATTTCTCATTCTTTATTAATCAAAAGCAGATAACATGAAGGAGAGACTTTTTCGAGCAGCACGAGACAGTCAACGTGACAGCATGCAGTTGAGCTAACTGCAGCAAAGAGCTGAGGAGAATGGCTCGGGTAAGGTCAGTGGGGTCTGATCGCTATAGAAACATGCGCATTATCCATCAGGCTGGCTAACGCTGCCCCTCCACCCCTCCAACCAGAGATCTGGGTCTGGGGTCACCGAGATATGAACCATGGGATGGCTCTCAGGAGTATTCACCTGCTTGGGGATATGGGATCCACCATTCAGATCATGGTCAGGTGCAGAGGCTGGAGTCTATCCCTGCCCCAGGAGCCCTGCTCTAGGTGGTCTATGGCTTTCTGCTTCCTGGGGTCCTATGAGGCAGGAACCACCAGGTTCCTGGGAACAAGACCAACCAGTTTGAGAAATACTGCCCCAGGGGGTGCTAAGTGTCCTGCCCCATTTTACGCAGTAGGTGGCGCTGTGCTGAATCTCAGGGGCAGCAGGTGGCTCTTCAAGCCCTGGAGCGCTGCCCTAGTGCTGCTGCCACGCGCTCTGCAACAGCACCCCCTGGCTTGCAGCTTTGTGACAGGTGGCAGGCGGGGAAACGAAGAGCGGAGTTATCGTTTAAAAAGGAGCAAAAGCACCCAGATTATGCAGGAAGAGGGAAAGGATAGGGTGGGGGCTCCAAGAAACGGATGCCACCAGCAGAGAGGTTGCCGTCCGTCACAGCACGAGCTGGTCACACGGACGGGGCTGGAACCTGATAGAGCTGACTGAGCCTGCAGGTCAGCTGTGATGACAGCGGCATCCCCAGCCTCGGGACAGGGGCCAGGCAGCGTCTGGAGGGACATGTGCCCTCGTTATGGTCTAGGAGACAACTCTACACTGATTCTGAGAATCAGCCAGAACTCCACCCTTCCCTGAGGCGGCAGGAAAAGTCAATACGTGTGTAGTGTAGAAGCAGTGTGACTCTACCTTGGATGTGGGCTGTCCGCTCTTTACAAACCAATTCTTCCAACCAACCAACCAACCAACCAACCAACCAACCAACCAACCAATCTGCCCTCGGCAGGTGTTTGGGGCAGCTGGGAGGATGCTGCTGGGGATGGCCACGCCCCACGTCCCAGGACCCGCCTGAGACTTGAACTCTAGCCTGGCTCAGTCCTGGCTGGTGTGGGCATTTAGGGAGTGAACAAGCAAATGGGAGACACCTCTCTCTCTCTCTTTCAAATAAAACAAATGCAAGAAAATCCTGCCTCTAGATGAGCAAAATACAAAAGTCAAACGTTGGCGGAAACTGCCAGATGGTGTCCACAGGTGACAAAATCAGCAGGTCACTGTGGGACACATGAGCTCTCCAGTCCTCAGCTTCTCCATCTATGCAATGGGCGTGCTGGACAGGCATATCTCTGAAGTCCCTTTCACACGGGTAACATGTCCCTGTGAACACCAGGACAGCCTCCTGTTTTCTCACTCCCAGCACGGATGCTGCTGGCTCATGACTATCACTCAAGCCAAGGGGGAGCTGCCAAGTCAGCAGAAAGAGCAGGAATCGGGGGAAGAGGAGGAGGATGGGGCTGGTGGTGGGGCAGCGTGGGGCTCACCCTAACGAGCTGTGTCCACAGCCGTTTGCATAGCGTTGACTCGACAGTATTTGGCTCCTCACAGAAACTAGGTTGCTCCTTGCAGTCGAATATTAACTACATTTTTCAAAGCCACAGCCTGTGGCCGATCAGCCAGTGCACCCTGTGGCGAGAGAAGCAGAGCAAAGAGGAGACAGGAGGGCCAGCAGGGCAGAGCGAGTCACCCAGGCAGGGTAATTTAAGGAACTGCCAACGTAGAGGGAAGAAGCATTGCCCACATGTGGGGCATGACACAGGGTTCCGCACACACCCCTTGGGGCTGGAGAGAAGAAAGTCTACGGACCTGAAGGAGAGCAGGCAGAGGGGACAGAGGGAACTTTTGTGCCAGCCTACTGCAGAGCTGGGTGCACAACCAGGCCTGGGGACCCCAGTGAGGAGGGGAAGTCCTAGCCAGGACAGAGTGGGGGGACAATGCAGTGTGCCGGTTGCCCACTCTCACATCAAACAATAAATAGACCAGAAAAATTCTGTTAGACTGGAATGGCATCCATTTGGTCTACCTGCTGGTCACCTACAGCTCCTTCTATGGCACTGCTGCCCACCACCCCGGACTACAGGGCCACCACAGACTTGGCCCTCTCTCTTTGGCAACAGCCACCTGCCATGTGTCCTGCCCAGGCCCACTGTGACGCTGGGGTGTAGCTCCCCACACGTTGCTGGCAGTCCCAAGCAGCTCTGCTCTCAGAGGCCTCCAGTGCTGAGCTGCCACGGAAACCCCTGCTGAGACTCTCCCTGGCCAAGCCCCCCACATTCCCAGCACCCAGGAAGTCAAGGCCAAACTCTTCCCTTTGACCTGATTTGGGGCTCCCTCTTTTGCACTCTCTTTCTTCCACATCTGGGCCTGGAGCACCAAGAGGAAGCACCTGCTTTTCCTGCAGATGTCCAGTAACTGCAGCAGTGTCAGGACAGTGGTCACGCACACAGGGGAACGTGGGCAACATGCTGTGGCCATGCACCTGCTCGGACACCCTGGGGAGCTGAGCTCTTTCCTACGTTGGTTTAAGGCTGAGCCAGACAGAGCCATGTCTAAGAACTAAACCTGGGTCTCCCACGTGCGTGACAGGCACCCAAATACTTGGGGGCTATTTTCTACTGCTGTCTGAGGTGTGTTAGCAGGAGCTGGACCGGGACTTGAACCAGCGCTTACATGGAATTCTGGAGTCATAGGTTGTGGATGCATCTCCTATGCCACAACGCCATTTCCTTGGCCCCTACACTATCCCTTTCCAAACCTAACTCAGAACCTGGAGGAATCTGAGTCCATGTACAGCGGGCTATCCTGTCTTCCATCCTCACTCCACTGTGTGCACCTGTCCATTGTCAATACACATCACACAGGCTGCTTACCACCTGCCTGACTCCAATTTGAGCCTCTAACTAAGCCTTGCTCAGCACAGCCTCCAAAGCAGAGCACCACAAAGGGCAGATGCTCGGGGACCCAAGAGGGAGGTGAGGAGGCAGGAAGACATGATGTCTGCTCTGGATGGAACTGCAAAACCCCCAATGCACACATGTCATTTCCAAGGTCATGCTGCTAGGCAGAGCGTGGTGGGCACCAGAAGTACAGAATCTGCAGTTCCTACCCAGTGTTCATTTTCTCAAAACCACCCTGCCCAGCAAGCCAGTCATCAGGTGTCGGATATGGCAGAGGCACGGCTCATAGCCCTGACCATAGGCTCCCTCCTGACTTGCCAGGACCCTGTGTGAACCCTAGGTGTGACCCTGTGCAAACTGAGGTCCCCTCCACCAGCACAGATGGGAGAGTCCTGGAGGGGTCTTGGAGGCCTCAGTGGGGCTGGGGGATGTGGCATGCCAGAAGGGGCAGGCAGGGCCAAGTTCGTGGGCATGATGGTGGAGAGAAGGTCTCTGTGGTCTTTGTGTGGAAATAAGGCTCTTTGCAACCTGAGTGGGGGCTCCTCTGGCCAGGTGTGGGTCCTCTGCTCTCTCTCTGTCACCTGTTTCGGCCCCTATGTCCCCCCCTTGAGAGCTCCCCAGGACTGGCTAGAGGCTGAGTCCTCCCGGCCCCCACAGGAAGGCCAGGACCAGCCCAGGAAGCGGCTACTTCCGCTGTTACCCCCCCATAGCCTGGTGGAGCTCCTGGGAGGCAGGCGAAGGTTTGATTATGAACACAGCTGAGCAGCTAATTAAAATAATAAATTAGAGAACAAACTACCAGGACATTGGGCGCTATAGGGAGTATTATAGGCTAGGGAGGAGGATGGCAAAGAAATAGGGGTGCACGTTTTCCTTCGTTCCAGATGTATTTATTTAGTGGGGAGGTAGACTGACACAGAGAGAGGGCGAGAGAGAGATTTTCCCATCCACTGGTTTGCTCCTCAGATGGCTCCCCCGACCTGGCCAGACCTAGGTCAGACCACAGACAGGAGCCAGGAACTCCATCTGGGTCCTGAAGCTGGACCTGAACCCAGGCACTGTGATGGGGGTGCAGTGTTCTAAGCTGCAGCAACACCCAGCTCCCCGCATCTGCTTTCTCTTGCTTTCCAGGCTTTCGGAGACTGTCTGCAGGGAACACAGTTCTTCTTAAAAAGAAATGCTCATTCAGCAAGCGCCCCAAGTACCCTATAGGATTCATCTCTGGGAATGGAAACCACCCACACCCACATGGTTTACGGCCCCAAACACGGTTCCGTTACTCTCCCACCCCCCTAACGCGGCTTCACTATTCCAGGAAACGCTTGCCCAGAAGAGAAAAGTTGCAAATAACTTGACTGTTTCTTTTAGAAACTTTGCAAAAGACACTGAAACAAAGCTCAGACTGTTCAAACTTTTAAACAGATGGCATCTACTGAATGTTCTCTGGCTCTGTCTGCACCCTGAACCACTTTGTCATGGTTCTTCCCGGTCTTAACCACGTCTTGGCAGGAGATCATGAATCACAGACACAGCTTGAATACAGCTGGCTCTCCCACGTGGTGGCAGGCCCAGGCACGTAGGCCACTTTCCTCTGCCTTCCTGGGTGCATTAGCAGGGCACTCAGCCTGGAAGCAGAGCAGCCCGGACTAGAACTGGAACTCCAACACGGGATGCCAGCAGAGCAAGTGGCAACTTAACTTTGCTGCACCACAAAGCAGGCCCTGAGTTACAGGTATTTTTAGACATTTAATACCTAACAGGGTCTTCAAAAAGCTCATGGAATGTGCACATTTTGTAAAAACTAGACTTTTTATTATTATTATTATTTAAGAGAGATCTCATCGGCTGGTTCTTAACAGACGGGTTGGGCTAAGGCCAGCCTGGGCAGCTGGGATGTGCTTCCCAGAGTCTGCACAACAGGAAGCTGCATTCAGAAGCCAAACCCGGGACTTGAACCCAGGACATTCTAAAGTGGGTCGTCGGTGTCCTGACCACCAGGCCAAACACCAACCAGCTCCAAACTTACCTTGGAACTGCAGTTCCCACTAAGGCTCTGAAGGACCCTCTTCTAGTGCAAAGACTTGCATTTACCGAATGCAACTCCAAGAGATGATAAAAAAAAATCTTTGAGTTGTATTTGAAGACTTCAGGACTTAGGCAAGGTGCCCAATGCTAGGCTACCCCTTGTGAAGGCAGCAGCGTCCCTCTGCAGCCCCCACACTTGGAGAGACCACATCACAAAACAGCCACCTGCTGGGGGCTGGCCCTTTCTCGCCAATGAAAACGCCCACCGCCATAACCCAGATTCATGTTTCTTGGGAAGAGTGTACCCTCACTGGGACAGGCTTCCGGGGGGTTGGGGGGTGTGGCCATAGAGACCACAGTAGCTTGGGACCCCAAGACTTCTGCTATTCCTCAGCCTCACCCACACACGCACGCATGTATGAAAAAGACGAATGGAAAATCAGGTGTCATTTCCTGCAGTCACGGTATTCCCGGGTGCCCGGGCCACAAATTGGCAGGGAGGAAGACGGTGATCTTTAAGTACAAGGGCTGAAGGCGCCGTAGATTCCTGATTGCGCGTGTGTCCTATCCTGATCACACGTGGGTCTTACTGAGTCGCCGTGTGCCCATACCCCATGCTGCCACCTACCTGCAAGCCGCCTCGGCCCTGCCCTCTTAGCAGGGGCACGGGGCCCGGTTTGCGTTGAAATAGCCTGAAGCTGCCCAGGGGTGGTCTTTGATTAGGAGGCCAGCAGCCTAGGTGACTGGCACAACACAAAGGGGCTTGGGGGAGGCACCGCGTGCTCAGAACTCACCCAGAAGAGGAAGTTAAAGATGAAAAGCAAATACTTCAGGTACACCAGTAGCCAGTCATCCTGCTCCATTTTGTAGCGGGCCATGGTGGCTTGTCCTGCAGGGAAGACATGCATGTTTAAAAAAATCCTATTTATTTATTTATTTTTAAAGATTTAATTTATTTTTATTGGAAAGCCAAAAGTCAAATATGCAGAGAGAAGGAGAGACAGAGAGGAAGACCTTCTGTCTAATGATTCATCCCCCAAGTAGCCAGAACGGCTGGAGCTCAGCTGATCTGAAGCCAGGAGCCAGGAGCTTCTTCCAGGCTTTCCATGCGAGTGCAGGGTCCCAAGGTTTTGGGCCGTCCCAATTGCTTTCCCAGGCCACAAGCAGGGAGCTGGATGGGAAGTAGGACATGAACCGATGCCCATATGGGATCCTGGAGGATGCAAGGTGAGGACTTTAGCCACTAGGCTACCATGCTGGGCCCCTGTTTACTTATTCGAAAAGTACAGTTAAACAGAGGGCTGGGGAGACACACATAGACAGAAGCTCTCTCTGCTGGTTCACTCCCCGAATGGCTGTGATGGTTGGGGCCAGGCCAGGAGCCTGGAAGCCTCTCTGCGTCTCCCATGTGGGTGGCAGGAACCCTGGGAGTGAGGCCACCCTCAGCTGCATCCCCAGCTGCATTAGCAGGGGACTGGATCGTTAGGGGTGCATCTAGGACTCGAACCAGCACCCACGTTGGATGCCTGCATTGCAGGTGGCTTAACCCGCTGTACTACAATGCCCGCATATTCTTACAAGCTGTAGATCTAGATTAGAAGGCGGAACTCCAAGCCTAAGGTGTGCACACTGCCCTGACACCCTCCATGGTCCTGCAGCCCGGTGGGGAACATTCCGGCAGCTGGTGGTGCTGAAGGCAGAGATAAGCGCTGGGCCTGCTGATTCTGCTTGCCTCTCCGTGGTTCTTCTTGAATTTCACGACCCTCGGGGCCCTGCCAAGCCTCACTCAGCAGCTGCGCCTTGTGGAATGGCAATGCTGGGCGACCCACTCTCATTTCAGAACCACACCCCAAGGTATTGATGCTACCATCCTATTTCCATCTCCCTCCTTCCCAACCTTGGGGCAGGCGGGCAGCCAAGCCCAGCCCCCTCTCCCCAGCCCCTGCTCTGCCTTTCTCGGCAAAGCCCACGGGCTCCGGGACAGAAGGAGGAAGGCAGGAAAGGAAAGGTGGCTGTTTTATTTGGGGCTTCTATTTGCAGACCTGGAAGAAGGTCATTTAAGAGTTTCAGGCTTCTTGTTAAAAAAAAAAAGGCAAAAACCCAGTTCTCTCCAATTTAGCTGGAGAGACAGGCGGACCGGGGGCAGGGAGATGGAGGACAGAAAAAGGAAGCGAGTGACAAAGGGTGAGAGACGGGGCTGCCTCGAGGGAGGAGGGAGAGCCGGGACCAGGGGCCTGTGGGCCACCGTGTGTCCTTGGGTGGCCTCCGGCCAGCAGTCTGCTCACAGTTTCCACATGTCTCCGCCCTGATCTCATGCCAGCCCTGTGGCCAAGGGGCATCAGAAATTCACTGCTCCCACAGAGCCAGCCCGGGAGGAATGAAGCTCTCCACACAGAAGACAAGATTTGGCTGAAGGGTGGTACATCGGGCGGTCGAATCCTGGCCATTCACGGTAGAGATTTAAGAACCACAGATTGGGATCCAGCACAGTAGCCTAGTGGCTAAAGTCCTTGCCTTGCATCCTCCAGGATCTTATAGCAATGATGGTTCACGTTCCGGCTCCTCTTCTGCCCTTCCAGCTCCCTGCTTGTGGCCTGGGAAAGCAGTGGAGGACGACCCAAAGCCTTGGGCCCCTGATCTGTACAGGGGACGTGGAGGACCCCCATGGATCCTGGCTCAGGATCAGCTCCAGCTGAGCTCTGGCTATAGCAGCCACGTGGGGAGTGAATCGGTAGATGGAGGATCTTTTTTTTCTCTCTCTTTCTGTCTGTAAATCTGCCTTTCCCATTCAAAAACAAACCAACCAACCAATCCTAGCACTAAGCACTCTCAGTCTTCACGTCCCGGGTGGTGTGTTTCTCCACAAGCAAGTCTCTCTTTGTCACTTTACTTTCAGTGAGCAATCTGCCTCTCCTGTATTAGTCAGGGCTCTGCTCCTACCTTTGGGCAATTAAAAGGTGACGTGGTGACACCAGTGACGCGGGCCTGGATCCCTGCTGTTTGACTAGGAGCAGGTGAGCGACCGTGGGTGGGCCTGTCACAGACGTGACTTTGGCCCTGCCTGCTGAATCACTCTCACGCTCTCATGCCTTTCTGCCCTCCACTACAGATGATGCCACGCCAGGGTGCTCGCCAAAGGCTGGCACCATGCCCTTGAACTTCTGCACTCCCGGAGCCCGAAGCACGTGTGGTGCTGCTCATTATCAATCACTCAGCCCGTGGCATCCTGTTCCGGAAGCATCCCACCGCACATCATGGCCACCCCTGAGGCTCTGCCGCACATCCTCTGTCCCTCACCTTCGTGATAAAGCCCTCTTCGCAGCTCATCTCCTCAAGGCTGGCCCTCCTCCCAGCGTGCGGCGATGAGCCAGCTCACAGCTGTGGCCCCTCCAGCGTCCACTCAGTCTCATGCTCTCTCCCAGAGCCAGAGCTCTACCGCCCAGCCGCATCCTTAACCCCTCCCTCCTACAGCCTGGATCCCGGGGACATATCACCCACTTGCTCTGTTCTTCTCTCTCTTCTCATGCCACCATTTCTCACCCCAACACAGAACGCCTCCCCAGGCGGTCCAGCATCCCCCAACTCCACCCACCCCATTCCCTGCCTGCCTGCTTGCTTGCCTGCCTCACTCCCCACCCCCTCATTCATCAACAGCCGTGGTCTGGCTGGTGGCTCGTGTAACTGTTTTCCTCTTCTGGGATGAATTAATCACAGTAATTAATCTACTCGGTCACCAGTGCTGGTAAGTTAAAAAAAAAAAAAAAGACAAAGGCAATGAATGAAACCACGTCTGACATCTAAGAGCTCATAGCCGGGCAGGGAGACACGGCAACCTAACTTGGACTTTCTCGTGCAGGCCGTGAGACAGTCACTTTCCAATGAGATAAAAGTGAATGGTCCTGCAGGTTGTAACCCAGACTTGGGGTTGAGGCATGAGTGTGCATCATTGGGAATCTAAAACTGTACCCAGAGACCGAGTTCTCTGGCAGAAAAAGCAGGCAGAGGTTTGTCTGTCTCCCATGACTCTGGCACAACAGAGCAGAGACCAGGATGCCTGGGATATGCAAAAGCTGGCCTCGTCCAGCCTCATTCCCTGAGCCCCCTGGCAGCTGGCCTGGGCTGTCTGGGTGGTCCCAGCTGGAGGAGCGGGGGAGGCTGACGGCGAGAAGTCAAACCCTAACCCTCGCACCCCTCACCACATCCATGACCATCACCATCCCAAGGCTTGCATGTGGATGCACTGGCTCTCACTAAGAACACATTTCCTCACAGACCTCTCGCTCTCATGAACCCCAGATTGTTTCCAGCAACGGATATAGTGTCTCTCCATTACAACTGGCCCGACACTCCTCAATGCAGGATGGCTTCTGTGGAAGAGCTGCTCTCTCTTCACCTGTGTGTGTATATATTGGAGGGGGAGGGGAGAGGCAGGTGCACGAGGCCTGTCCAGGAAGGGATTATGTGCCCACCACCCTGAGTACAGGCTGATACTGGGCATGGGTGGGACTTGGTTGGTAGAGTGTGGGCTCCTGGATCCCAGGAAAGGGGTGGGGGCTGAGGGAAGCTCTTGTTTCCCATGATCCTTACAACATTTCCATCCCATATGGGAACCCCATGGCCGTTCCTGCCACTGCCTGGACAGCACTTCCCAGTGTCTGTCCCCACAGACTTGGCTATGGCTGGCCTTCCATGTCTGGCTACTGTCAGTGGACATAAGGTTCACTGTTGCAGTGCTCATCAAAGACCCACTCCTTTTCTTAGCTGAGTAATATTCCACATGCGCTGATCCTACCTTCTGCTTATGGCGATGGACAATTGGGTCATATCCATCTTCTGGCTACGGTGGAACTAGTGTGAGCACCTGCTGTCAGTGCCATGGGTGCAACAGCGAGGAGTGGAATTGCTGGGTCACATCCATGCTCTGAATAAAATCTCATTTGCTTTAAATACAGCGCTTGCCTTGTCTCTGGAAAAAGCATCCTGTGGGTTAGCTGAGATCAGAACAGTCATGGGCAATGACGCCTGATGCCCACCTACAAGTTAGCAGACCCCAGATGGCTGAAGCTCACAGCTGACCCAGGCTGCGCTACTGCTTGACATTGGACTGTCAGGATGTCTGCTCCGAGCTCTCTCCTTTCCTGAACAGCCACTCCGCAGCTTCTCCATGCAGAAAAGGCTTGGAAATGGACAGTTCAGGGTAGGCAAAGCTCCCTCCCACATCCTGCTGGGGGCGCTGTCTGTGCTCCCTGCTCTCCTCGCACCTGACAGCCCACGTGGACCCCGGGTTGCATGATCTGGATCCCAAAGAGTTTTACAAAAAGCCTGTCTGGAAACTCACAGGGCTCTGGGACTAAGTAAGGGCCGGGGACAGCCAGGACAGGAGTTCTGGTCCCATAGCGCGACACATGTGGAAAGTGTTCTGTCGTGTGACACGGTGTGGGTGCAGGCAACCGTGCCACCAGCAGAGCAATGACAGCTGAGTTCTGATTCTAACTCATGGCTTCAGATGTCAACAGCTGCTTCTCCTACACTGCAGCTGCTCACAATGGAAACAGCAGACCACCCTCATTCTCAGCCCCACCCTGCCCCATCACCCTGTTCTCTAGGGAACATTCAGGAACCTTCCCACGCCACATCTGCCTCCCAAGTTGCTCCACATCCTGCAGATCTTTGCAGCTGCCTCAGCTAAGATGCCAACCTGCCCAGGCCTACGGGAGCCCTCCTTCCTTCCTCTCCTTGCAAGCAACTCCCGCATGTTAACCCTGCACACGCACAACACGGGTAAAAGCCATCAGGGCTGTCTGTCTTTCCACGGGGAGCCAACCAGCTGTACACAGCAGAAAGAGGTGACAGAAGGCAGAGGGCGGGCCCAGCCACC